AGAATGCCAATTTAATAGAAGAAAGTATTCTTGCATTGAGGGAGTACTTGGGCCTCCACTCCACTCAAGAGGGTGCTTTAAATGAGAACTAAACTCACTTTGCAAAGACACATCCCCCAAATCCCCACCTGCTCTGCAGCCCTTCCTAAGATGGGTAAACACAGGGCTGGCTTTAAGAAAGCCAGTTCATCTACTGTCTTAAAAGGCTTGAAGTTAACCAAGCAGCCACATAGCAGAGAAGCAACAAGCCCACATAGAAGAAGCACATCAATCTGTGCGATCATTGATGACGAGGTGTCAACCGGATCACATAACAGGTACCAGAAGACCCAAAACAAACAAACAAAAACCATATTGTTGAGAACAAGGGAGGGGGGGTTGGAGCAGAGACCCAAACCCCATCGGTAGATAATAGGACATCCCCTCACAGAAGGGTGACAAAGAAGGGATGAGTCAACAAGGGTGCAGTATAACACCATGAAACACACAATATCCTTCTGGTTCCTTGAGGCTTTTTCACCCCACACTATAATGAAAGGCCCCAGTCCTGCCTTTCACTTTGGCTAGACCAGAACATGTACACTGGTACAGATAAGAACTCACAACACATGGAATCCAGGTCAGATAAACCCCTCAGGTACAGAAATGGGAGTATCGATACCAGGACAGTAGGGGGAAAGTGGGGGTGGGGTAGAAAGGGAGAATGGAAGGAAATGATTGACACATACACCCCCACCCAGGGGGATGAACAACAGAAAAGTGGGTGAAGGGAGACATCGGACAGTGTAAGATGTGACAAAATAATAATTTATAAATTATCAAGGGTTCATGAGGGAGACAGGAGCAGGGAGAGAAGGGGGAAAATAAGGAACTGATGCCAGGGGCTTACATGGAGAGCAAATGTTTTGAGAATGATGAGGGTAATGAATGTACAAATGTGCTTTATACAACTGATGTATGTATGGATTGTGATAATAGTTGTATGAGCCTCCAATAAAATGATTAAAAAAGAAAATCATAATAATCATTTATCAAGGGGTCACAAGGGTGGGAAGGGGGAGGGAAAAAAGAGGAGCTGATACAAAGAGCTCAAATAGAAAGTAAATTTTTAGAAAATAATGATGGCAACATATATACAAATATGCTTGATACAATTGATGTATGGATTGTTGCAAGAGCTATAAGAGCCCCCAATAAAATGATCTTAAAAAAAAAGCACAGAATAAAACTTCTATCTGCCTGAAAAAAAATTAAGAGTCAGTTTTCAACAAACTATCAGACCAATAGCAATATCTATTGTGCAGAAAAAATGATTTTAAGGTGCCTAGCCAATTCATAATCACTTCCTCCACAGGAACTCAAACTCACTGCCATTGAGTCGGTTCCAACTAAGAGCAACTGTGTAGGTTGGACAGAGTAGAGCTGCCCCTGTGAATTTCTGAACTAACTCTTTACGGTGGTAGAAAGGCATGTCATTTTCTTGTGAAGAAGCTGGTGGTTTTGAACTGCTGACTTTGCAGTTAGCAGAAAAATCTCTCTTGGTACATAGTTTTAAAAACAATTTTCATAGGACATTTAATAATAGCTCTTACAACATCAGAATAGCAAACTTCTCTTTACCCTTTATTTGTAAAGGGGAAAAAAGATTGGTACTCTTAATGTATAATATTATTTCAATTCGGTCCTCACTAGGGGAGTTACAAACCAAAATGTCTATAGAGAGTAGAGGGTACTATAATTAAAGGAAGCAGTTCAAGGGGGGTACTGCAGAGTCCCACACGACTTACCTAAACAAATTGTTACCATGCAGGGGCTAGTTTTCAAAGATGCCAAAAATCTAGAGTTTATTTTTAAATCTTTTAGGTCTTGCAGCATGGTAAAGGGTTAATGTCAGTGAGCAAATGTGGTCCTCTGGATACAAGTTTGAAACCTCTGGTCTATATTCACCGTGGAAGTTCATCTCGTACCTGGGTTTAGAAATGGTAGAGTTGCCCAGAACTGCATACACTTCAGCAATTCAGAGTTGGCTGTGGGTCCCTTCACAGTTGTCCGCAAATAAAATGGTAGATAAGCGAACTTTCTGCAAAGGTACATCAGGGTGTATGTAACAAACCATGACTATTAAGAACAGTAATAGAGCAAAATAAATTATTAAATATTCTAGTCTCTCATTATTTGAACATATACCAATATGACAAGACCATCAAGTTAGTGTATATGCAAAATACTTAGCAGTGCCTGACAGATTGTCGCACTCTGGAACGGTGGTTATTTTTATTGCTGTTTTTGCTGAACGTGTTTGGCTGCTAACCAAAAAACTGCAGTACAAGTCTACTTAGAAACACACCTTCATAGAAAAGCCTCGTGATCTACTTCCAAAATATCAGCCATACACCATTGCTGAAGACAAAAATAGGTGCATAAGCAAATGTGTTGAGGAAGCTGATGGCACTCACCTATCAAAAGACACAGCATCTGGGGTCTTAAAGGCTTGTAGTTAAACAAGCGGCCATCTAGCAGAGAAGCAACAAAGGCTGTATGGAAGAAGCACACCAGTCTATGTGATCATGCGGTGTCTCTGCCAGAGCTATCAGAGGTTCCAAAACAAACAACCAAGTAGATGTGAAGGGACGCTGATGTAATTAACGCACCTATAAGATAAGTGGACAGTCCCTCTCAGAAGGGCCACACAGAAGGGATGAAAAATCGAGGATGTGGTATAGCACTGATAAACCACATAATTATCCTCTAGTTCTTTAATGCTTCCTCCCCTTACTACTATGGTTTTCTTTACCCTATTAATCATATTAGATTTGCATATGTTCATTTGTATATTTAAGATCCTTTGGTACATGAAAGCTAAAATAGATAACCCTTCAGAAACAGTAATGGGAGTAATGGTTTCCTGGGGGCACGAAGACAGGGGTGGGGTGGGGGTGGGGAATAGGGAGCTGATGAATGTATAACCCCACTGAATGGGATCAACAGAATTGTATGTGAATGAATATATTGGATTGTGTAAGATATGGGGAAAACAGGCTATCTGTAGATAAGAGCAACCAGGTTCTACAACTGAACCCAGTGTAAAGTCTAGCAAACCCTCTTCTGACATCTCTTGCTGATATTGACCACAGATTGTTCCCCTGAGGAGGGCTCAGGGCTGTCAGAGGTCAACTAGCACTTGGTCAAGATGATGAATCATTTCATTGTTTATTATGTTACCTGCTTATATTACCCATTGATTATGTAATATGTTCACTGTATGATACGTGTGCCTTTTGAAAGATCTGTAACCCATTAAATACTCATTAGAAAATACATTCACTTGGGGTACGGGAGACAAGGGGAACCCGTCACAAGGTTGGTTACATAGCCCCGCCCCCAAGCGGGACGAATAACAGAAAGGTGGGTGAAGGGACTCAATGGACAGTGTAAGACACGAAATATATAATTGATCAAGGTTTCACAAGGGTGGAAGGGGAAATAAAAAGGAGCTGATACCAAGGGCTCATATAGAAAGAAATTGTTTTGGAAATGTACAAGTGTGCTTCATACTTTTCAATGATGGACTGTTATTTGTAAGAGCCCCCAAATAAAATACTTTTTAAAAAGAAAGAAAATGCACCACTCTCTTGATCCTGACATAAGGCCAAGGAGCCCCTGTGCCCTGCTGTCTTTTTTCCACAACAGCAAAGTCACTCCGGAGGGCCCTTACCCCACAAGGGAGCACACGCTTACTCTGACTTCCATTAAGGTTGCCGAGCTGGAATTGAAAAGATGGTGTGTGTGATAGGATAGGAAAAATTAAAATTAACTTAGGTTTTTTTTTTGTTCTTGCCAGAAAGTAATGCTTAAAGAATAATGTGAGCTATGGCAAAAGGGCACAGAAAGAAAGCAGCTTAATAACCCATTTATGCTATTTTTAGCATAAAATGAATATAGTAATTTTTTAATAACCGTAACGGTTTATAGCCCATACCGATTAAAAAAAAAGTGAATGAACTGAAGGTTTCATGAGACAGCACCTCCCCATAAAATAATCTTTACAAAGAGTAACATTTGAGATGCTCAGCAGACACGCTCTTACGTAATCAGAGGTAATTATCACTGATGATGAGTCTAATCAGCCTAATGAAGGGAACATATCGATTCTCTTGACAGCTCAGCCTCCCACTGAGGAAACAGACAAACCCGAGGACAGGCGACAAAATACCTGGTCCAGTAATCCTTGAAAGAAGTCCATTCACTGTTTGTGCACATGTGTGAGTTATATGTGCTGCAGCCCTGAGGCTGAGGTTTCTGAATGAACAGAATTACAAGCCACGGAGATGAAAAAATCAGTGAAGTTCATGAGTAAAACGGAACTGTTTTGATTGAGAGACCTGACAGCCAAGGGCAACACGAGATTATAAACTGCTAAACGTGAACGGGAGGAACTTGCACGCGGTCTGAGAATCAGAATGCAGCAATTCACCACTCTGAACGTCCAGAGTGTGAAGGCTGGTTTGTAGGAGCTCACTGCACCGCCTGGGGAGGCATTCTGTCATAGCAAGTACTTCCGAATGGTTGTGTTTACTGTTCTTAAAGCCTTTAAGTTTGAAATTGTTTCAAAACAAACACGACAAAATGGCCAATTTCCATACACTTCCTGCATTAACTTGGGGGGAAAAAAGTGTGTGCCATAGAATTTCATTTTCACAAAATAAAGATTTTTTTGTTGTTCTTTTTCTTCAAATTAAAGTTTTCACCTTTCACATGGTCTACTTTTACAGCTTATTTATTGTTCACCTTCTGCATCGCTCCACTAGGTCTTACGAGGCAGTGCTTGTTTGTTTGTCTTGTTTTCCATCAATGCACCGGAGTCCTGGGCCCTTGGCAGACAAAAGATGTCGAGTGAGTAAACGGAAGGAACGGAGGGCATACACCTGGAGCTCTCCTCGGGACTGTAAGCGCCACGAAGGCAGGGATTTCTGCGACGGTGTGCATGAAGCATCCCCAGAACCTTGAACGACGCTGGCGCGCCGAAGAGCTGAATACGCCTGCGTGGCCGGGCCGGGCCGGGCCTGCTGGACCAGAGCCCAGGGAGGACGCGACCCCGGGCCGCCCAGAGCTCCTGGTTGCTCACCTGGGCGTCAGGCCGCCTCTCTTCCACATCCCAACACCTCTGCTGTCCCGACCGGCGTGTGTGGAACCGCGTCCTCTTCTCGCCCTTCTCAGGGTGCCTCCCGGCCCTTTCCTTCTCTGGCTCCAAGAAGCCGTGGAGAACGACCAACTGGGACTGAGGAAACCCCGACGCCCAAACTCCCCGGCTCCGCGGTCCCCGAACAGAACGCCCTCGGAGCTTTGACTGTGTCACCGCCCTTCGAGCCGCTCCCCGCGTCACCGGTCACAGGGCGCTCAGGGCGAGAGGTCCGGGCCATACCTGTCGTTTCGCTGGTCAGAAATGGGGGCCGAGGCAAAAGGCAAGCCGTTTCACCGACCGCTTCAACTATCCCAAACGACTTTCCAACCGCTCCCACACGGCCCCGTAGGGGGCGCTGCTGAGCCGTTTCCCAGGCCCCCACCACCCCTCGCCGCCCCGCCCACCGTGGCCCGGAAGCATCTAGTAGACGCTGGGCGGAGCCCAGGGCCCAGCCTGGGCCACTTCCTTGACTTCTCACTCGCGGAACCCTTGCCGCAGCTGCGCGGGGCATTTGAACCGCCCGGAAGTGGGAGTCGGGCGACTTCCGGCCGCTACCTTGGCAGAGGGAAGAGTACCCGGAATGGCGACTAAGAAGTTGGCCCGGTACGGCAGGGGGACCCGGGCAGGGCTGGGGACGAGATGAGCTTGACGGTAGCTTCCGTTCCCTACAGCTCCGTGTCTCCGACCCGCTTCTCTGGCCAGACAAAATGGCCCCTGTCGGTACCCGGGTTCGAGCCTCAGGCCCGCAACACTGGGCCGAGAGACACGGAGGAGACCTGAGTTCTTAGGCGCGAGACCATAAGCCAGTCTTTGCTTCATTCAGGCCCCCGGGGAACCCTTGAACGTGACAACACGCCCCCTGCCCCCCGCCTCCCGCACTACCAAGCTGTTTACCCCGCAACTTCCTATTGGTCCTTTTGAGTCCATATGGATCGGCGTGTACTTTTTCCTGATTATCATTGAGCATGCTGTTCCCGCTTTTGATTACTCGAAGCAGTCTAATGCCCTATTGAATAGCATGAACTTGAGATTTAGGCAGTCGCGTGTACTGCTGACCATATGAGCGATTTGAGGGATTTACGTCTCGGAAATCCTAGTGTATGGGGTCGCTAGGTGTTGGAAGGACTTGTAAGTCAATTGCGGTCATCTACGTTTTGCACCTGCTACCTGTTGTGACTGGAGTCGGGTCCCACTCCTAGCCGTCCCGTGTACATCAAGAAACACGTCCTGGCCCTGTGCCACACTCACAATTGTTCTTATAGTTCACTTATTGTTGCGACCACTGTGGCTCTCCATCTGGTCGAGGACCTTCCTCGGTGTTCACTGCCCATAGACTTTACCAAGCATGATGTCCTTCTCCAGGGACGGGTGTCTCAGTCCTGCTACATAGTAAACCTAAGACCAGGGTGGCCGTTAGGATGATGTTCCAATCTAATTCAGGGTCCCCTCCGAGATCACAACTCAATCATTTATGAGAGTGTATTTGCCACAAGCCAAATACCCTTAGTTTGGTAGCCTATGAAAAAAAAGAGTGTGAACTATGTATTAATACTGGGGTTACATTTTCAGGCGACTTGGATTAATTAGGAAGAAGTCATTTGCACCAGTAAATAGAAATCTACAAAGAAGCAAATACCGTAAGTGGTGTGTTTGTGTCCTTCGGTTCCTTAGTTGTGCACTTTCATACTGAAAAGGTCTAAGGGTACCTTCATCTATTGCAGAGCAGTTGTTTGACTACTTCATAGTCATTGATTTTGAGTCCACCTGCTGGAACGAGAGGAAGCACCACCGTAGCCAGGAAATAAGTAAGTGGATGGCTTGTGGCCAACGCTAACACTAGATGAATCACTTTAATGTTGATAGCTAGTCAGTAGTTAATTTAGGAAAATTAGTGTAACCTTTGAACTTTCCTTAGAAAGCAAGACAAAGAAATGCCCGTCTTCAGTAATGGGTCATCCTATACAATACAGTGCACCTGTGAAAGCCGGAGCCTGTGTAAAGTGGAAAGCTGTCTGAGAAGCCCACTACTGTCAAGTCAATTCAAATGCACAGGGAACCTGTAGGAGAGAAGAGTACTGCTCCTCAGGCTTTCAGAGGTTAGCAATCTCTATGGGAGCAGACTGGGTCGTCTTTCTCCCATGGAGCGGCTGGTGCATTCAAACCGCTGGCCTTTTAGGTAGTAGCCAACTCTTTACCCAGTACTGCACCAGGGCTCCTTCACTAGAACCAAACTCACAGCCCTCAAGTCAGTGCTGACTCATAGCCACCCCCTTGTGGATTGCCGAAACTAACTGTTTAGGGGAGTAGAAAGCCCAGTCTTTCTCCCATGGAGCCGCTGGTGGCTTCAAACCACGAACCATGTAGAGGCAGCTCAACTCGCAGGGCTCTTTAGGAACATGCCGATGTTTTCCACTAAAGGAGCTATAGCAAAGTGGTAAGACTACACCCTGTCAAAGGCAAAACCTTTCCAGGCCCCAAAAAGACAGTCTCCACTGAGTTTGGCTCTCACAGGTTTCACAAATTATTTTCGAATTGCATAAGAGCCTCTTTGGCATAGATACTGGAAAAACACATTGCAAAAGAGGAGTGTATTTCAATTTCCATTAGTATTTGTAATTGTGGAATTGTGCTCAATATTTTCCTTTTGAGTAGATACATTCAAATCTGAATGTCAGTCTTATAGTTTATCTTTGGTATAATGTTTATTGCAGTGCATTGTTGGGACATTTTAATATTCTTTAAAACAATGATTGTTTAATAATGCTATGCTGTCAGTGTATTTCATTTAGGGTCATAGCATTAATTTAGCAATTATATGCTTAAATGTCAATTGATTTTTTTCATTTAGTTGAATTTCCAGCAGTATTGTTGAATACATCTACTGGAGAGATTGAATCTGAGTTCCATGCTTATGTTCAGCCGCAGGAACATCCCATTTTATCTGAATTTTGCATGGAACTGACAGGCATAAAGCAGGTATGCTCTCTTAGCCCAGCTGAAGCCAAGCCGAAATGCTGCAAATTTTACGACTCAGAAAAAGGATGAAAAGAATAAAAAGCTATACATTTATCAACAATCATGTTACCTGGTACTTCACACTTACTACAATAATAAAGCATGTAATCCTGACTGTTTTGAGCACTAACAACATACAACTGAGGTACCAAGGGAGTGTTATGCCGGCTGCGATGGTTAAGGTCAACTTGCGTGGACTATGATGCTCAGTGGTTTGTCGATCACACGTGATGTAATTGGACAGTGCTGTAATGTTGTCACACTCCCATTTTGCTATCCGATGTGGCCAGCCTCCATTTTTGTGTAATGCCATTTTTTACATCAACAACCTGGCATTTGAAAACTAACCTTCTCGATAAGTGAGAAGTAGGTATTTACTACTTACAGTTAAAAGAAATAATGTGCTCTTTAGAAGTCTATTCGAATCGTAGTAATGAGAAGGCATTGTGTTATAAGAATGAAGATGAAATTTATTTTATAGATATTAAGTGACTCAGATTTGGCTTTAATTTCTATGGTATGAGTTTCATATCTGTGGTTTTAGGTTGGTTTAGAACACTAACTATAGTATTTTCTTTCTTCCATATGTTTTAACATCTCAACAAACTCTTTACCAGAAGGAGTTCCTCTTATCCCCCATAGCAGTTACCTATAGTAAATTCTCAAAAATTACAGAATTTGACTGTTGAATTGAGATTTTGTAACTATTTAGGTTCAAGTTGATGAAGGAATCCCTCTGAAGATTTGCTTATCACAGTTTTGTAAATGGATTCATAAGATTCAGCAACAGAAGAACATAATTTTCCCTAGTGGAATCTTGAATTCTTCCAGTTCCGAAGTAAAATTATGCGCCTTTGTTACTTGGTCAGGTAAGAAAATAAGCATCTAATTCATTATCTCTAAGAAAAAGTATACTTATAAATCTCCTAGGTCACAAAAAGAAATACAAGTGCCTAATGAATATCAACTAAGAAAAATAAATTCATTAATATTTTTTAAATTACTATTCTAGGGTACTGTAGAAATTTAAGCTTTAACTTTTAAAAATCTTTCTAGAATGATTATCTTTGTTCTTCACATTCCAATTAACTATGATGAAGTGAAACTTATTACAGTCTTGTATAGGAAGTGTTCTCATTTTGCTTATATCCTTTGCTTTTATACTTTGAGACTTCTTTTTCTTTTAATCATTTTATTGGTGGCTGATACATCTCTTATCACAATCCATCCATCGATCCATCCATCCATTGTGTCAAGCACATTTGTACATTTCTTGCCCTCATCATTCTCCAAATATTTGCTTTCCACTTAAGCCCTTGGTATCAGCTCCTCATTTTTCCCCCCCCCTCCCTCATGAACCCTTGGTAATTTATAAATTATTGTTATTTTGTCATGTCTTAAACTGTCCGGCATCTCCCTTCACCCACTTTTCTGTTGTCTGTCCCCCAGGGAGGAGATTATATGTAGATCCTTATAACTGGTTCCCCCTTCTACCCAACCTTCCCTCCACCCTCCGGTATCACCACTCCCACCACTGGTCTTCTTATACTCTTCTAACTCAAGGTCGGTGGTTCAGTCCACCAGCTCCAGGGAAGAAAGCGAAGGCTATGTCTGCTCTTATAAGCATTTACAGTCTTAGAAACTATAGGATTGCTGTGGGTCAGAATTAACTCATGGAAGTGGGTTAAAGTAGATAGATAAAGGTGGGTGGGGTGGAGAACTTGATACAGTATTACCATGGCTGTGCCATGGATAGCATAGTGTTGACAATCATCTTTTTATTTGCTGTACAGTATTTGGTTTCTCAAGCACATAAGTACTTTGCTGTAACATTGAAAGCAGGTAACCTTCACATAGACTTTATAATTTGATATCTTTCCCCTTCTTTCTGGAATATGCATTGTATTTTATTGGGGTGCTTACGAAATGTTGAAACTTAGTCACCAACCTAATTTCTTATTAAGTGTGTAAAGTGAATGCTTATTAGATATTAGTAGCAATTAAACATCATTGTTATGTTCCCCATCATATCCCTGCATTTTACTTAAAAATATGCTAGCACCATTGCCTTTGTTCTCTCTAAATGTCCTCCATACAGACTGGGACTTGGGGGTTTGCCTGGAGTATGAGTGCAAAAGGAAACAGCTGTTAAAACCCATCTTCTTAAATTCGTGGATTGATCTCCGAGCAACTTACAAGGTAAGGGTCCAAAGACTGAAGCATATTCTTTTCCATCTATTGAAAAATGAGTACATTTATCTCCACACATGGCTACAACTTTCTACCAAAAAAAAGGTTTCTTTTAAAATGTTTCCATGAATACTCTTCCCACCCCCCACCCGAATACACCTTCTTTAAGTGTGTAAAAATGGCAATAAAAATCAGTACGTTTAAATATGACATAAGTGGTTAATAACAAGCTTCTCAAATAGTAATTGGGTTTTGAGATATTATCTTCTTTTATTTCCTTAGCTTTTCTACCGAAGAAAACCAAAAGGACTAAGAGGTGCTTTGCAGGAAGTGGGAATACAATTCTCAGGACGAGAGCACTCTGGTAAGCATAAAGTGAAAAATCATGTCATAAGTGTATTTTATTTTCATCAGATGTTTCATATGAATTGCATTTATTTTACAATACCATCAGTGTGTTAGTCTGGGTACTTTAGAGAAACAAATCCACAGAAACTCACATATAAGAGAGAGTTTTATATAAAGGGTAAGTGTGCATCAAGAAAACATCCCAACCCAGTGCTGCCCAAGCCCACAAGTCCAACATTAACCCATATGTCCAACACCAATCCACAAAGTCCTCCTCCATCTCACAAAACACACAATGATGCCGACTGCAGGAGGAAAGCCGAGTCAGTGATTGTGTAGGCATCTCAGTGCTGGCAGGGACCTCTATACAGGTGCTCTAGCACTCAGGGCTGCATTGGGGTAGGTCCATGTGGCTTCTCCTTGGGGATGTCTTGCAGGAAGTGAGCATTGCCAGCTAGAGCAGAGAACTGGCTAAGGCAGCTGCACTCTGGTCTGACCATCACAAAGCAAGAAACCCGAGAACAGGAAAGGCGAGGCTCACTGAGCCATTTATCCCTCCGCCCTTCAATTAACCCCACATGTGTTTATGGGCCAGGTTGGCACAATAAACTAACTACCTCAGTCAGTAACAAATACCTTTCAGTCAAAACTCCTCCTACAACTCAAGTTGTTTGCAAGACTTTCATATTACCACCACAATAAAGGGAATCTCCCAAGGAAGGGGGTGGCACATGAATATTTTGGTTTCCTAGTGCATATAAAAGTTATGCTTGCACTCACACTGTAGTATGATCTAATAAGTGTGCAATAGCATTATGAAAAACATTTGAAATATGGTTATGAACTACCAAACTGTAACACAGGCACAAAATGAGCATTTGCTGTTGGAAATGGTGCTGGCAGACCTGCTCCAAAGACACTGTATCTGGGAAGCAAAATAAAGTGACACAAATAAAATGAGGTGTGATTCTACATTACTGCCATCTAGTGGCTTTCTAGTTTCTCAGAAGATTGAAAAGAATTATGCAGACCAAATGGAGATTAAACAAAGCCCCAACTAGTACAGAGGACTAGTGAAAAAGTAGACTAGACTACTAGATAACTCACAAATTTTGGTTCCTTCAGAATGTTGGTCACATTTTGTGGAGGTCAGTAGATGGTCATGAAACTAACAATCTGCCACAATTTCCATCTACCATTACCACCAGTTACTGTAGATGCCAACCCAGGCATTGTTCCATTGGGTTTTCAATGGCTGCTGGATTTTTGGGGAAGTTAATCATGATATAGTCTATAAGATAGCGGGTTATGTGGTTTGGATGTGGTGTGGACGCTATTTTATATACAGGTAGTCCCCAGGCTATAAACAAAATCTGTTCCTGAGTTAGCCTAATTTGAAATAGTCAAATATAAGGCTTAATATACAAAGAGGCTTCAGAAAATTCATGGAAAACGTCCATTTATCTCTTCATTTTATTTCTCCATAACTTTTTGGAGCCCCTTGTATAGTATGTAGTGTACCTTTCTATGCATAAAAAACATTAAAAGAACTCATTCAGGTTCACTAAAACATAGTTAACATAATAAAAGACCAAACTCACTGCCTTCAAGTTGATTACAGCTCTTAGTGGTCCTGTAGCACAGAGTGGCCTGCCCCTTTGGGTTTCACAAGCTGTAAATCTTTACAGGAGCAGAAAGCCTCAGCTCCAGTGGAGTGGCTGGTGGGTTCAAACTACTTACCTTGCCATGAGCAACCCAGCATGTAGCCCATCAACCACACAGGCTGGGCTCCTTTAACATCACAATGTAGTGATGGTAATGTTTTGGTGTACAGATGTCCCAAAGTATCGTCCATTTGTTGTGGATCATTGTTGTGTACCTTGGGTTTTTAATGTAATTGCCTTTTGTGGGTTAGGACCATGGTTGTATATGTGGTTGCTCGAATGGACATGATGCAGTGCAGGATGCAATCACACTTTTCTACCAAGGCATCACTTGGTGAACTGTTGATTAGCAGCTAAGTACATTAAGCATTACACCTCCCAGGAACTCCAATTTCCATGTAAGTGGTAGGTTGGTTGTTTTTTTCTGTTGGTGGTGGCGCTTTGTTTTGCTGTATTTCCTTACATTAGTACTATCAAGTTTAGTGTTTAATACCTGTTTCCTCAGGGTTGGATGATTCTCGGAATACTGCTTATCTTGCCTGGAAAATGATCAGAGACGGTTGCATAATGAAAATTACTAGATCTTTGAATAAGGTTAGTTTTGCCTCTATATTTTATCTTCTCAAACCCCCAAAGTAATCATAGACTCACTGAAATGTCCATTTCATCTGTGTAGTCTTTAAAAAAATTTTTTTTAATTTTTATTTATTTTTTAATCATTTTATTGGGGGCTCGTACAACTCTTATCACAATCCATACATCCATCCATTGTGTCAAGCACATTTGTACATTTGTTGCCATCATCATTCTCAAAACATTTGCTTTCTACTTGAGCCCTTGGTTTCAGTCCTCATTTTCCCCCTCCCTCCCTGCTCCCCCTTCCCTCACGAACCCTTGATAATTTGTAAATTATTATTATTTTGTCATATCTTACACTGTCCGACATCTCCCTTCACCCACTTTTCTGTTGTCCATCCCCCAGGGAGGAAGTTATATGTAGATCCTTGTAATCGGTTCCCCTTTTCAACCCCACCCTCCCTCCTTCCACCCTCTGGTATTGCCACTCTCAGCACTGGTCCTGAAGGGATCATCTGTCCTGGATTCCCTTTGTTTCCAGTTCCTATCTGTACCAGTGTACATCATCGGGTCTAGCTGGATTTGTAAAGTAGAATTGGGATCATGATAGTGCGGGGAGGAAGCTTTTAGGAACTAGAGAAAAGTTGTATGTTTCATCATTGCTACACTGCACCCTGACTGGCTCATCTCCTCCCCTAGACCCTTCCGTAAGGGGATGTCCAGTTGCCTACAGATGGGCTTTGGGTCCCCACCCTGCACTCCCCCTCACTCACAATAATATGATTTTTTTGTTCTTTGATGCCTGATAACTGATTCCCTTCGGCACCTTGTGATCACACAGGCTGGTGTGCTTCTTCTATGTGGGCTTTGTTGCTTCTGAGCTAGATGGTCGCTTGTTTACCTTCCAGTTTTTAATACCCTAGATGCTATATCTTTTGATAGCCGGGTATCATCAGCTTTCTTCATCACATTTGCTTATGCACCCGCTTTGTCTTCAGCAATTGTGTCGGGGAGGTGAGCATCATGGAATGCCAGTTTAATAGAGCAAAGTATTCTTGCATTGAGGGAGTGCTTGAGTGGAGGCCCAATGTCCATCTGCCATCTTAATACTAAACCTATAAATATATGCACATAGATCTATTTCCCCATCATCATATATAATTATATTTACATATGTACATGCCTTTATTTAGACCTGTGTAAATGCCCATTTGCCTCCTAGTTCTTTCCTCTATTTCCTTTTACTTTTCTCTTGTCCCACTATCATGCTCAGCCTTCATTTGGGTTTCAGTAATTCCTCTTGGTTACATTACCCTTGATCATGCCCTACCAGACACCCTACACCCTCTTCACCACCGATTTGGAACACTTGTTGTTCCCGTGTCCCTGGGTTTGTGAACACTGTGTGATTGTTTATACATGGTGGTGCAATGGCAAGCACTTGGCTGCAAACACAGCATAGTGAGTCAAACTCACTCAGCAGCTCGTGGAAGAACAACCTGGCAGCCAGCTGCCATAAAGATGACAGCTAAGAAGCCCTGTAGGGTTATACTCTGTCACATGGCATCCTTTGGAGTCAGAATGGACTCAGTGACATTTTCTCTTTTGTCTTGTGTGGGAGACTGAAGCAATTAGAAATGCACAGTTTCAAAGCTCTTGAATTTGTCTGTGGAATCACAGGTACCCCCTAAGAAGAATCCCAACATTTTGGCCAGCAATTTGAATAAGGATCATGTTGAAGACAGTTCTGACTGTAGCAGTACCATCCAGGTTCCCAGTCCCTTTGATACGGAGCCTAAGAGTGCTACAAATGCTGGGGGCGAAGTTCAAATGAGATCAGCTTGTATGAATTCTTCGAAAAAGGTCCAGCAAGATCAGTTACAATTAAGGATCAGCATGAAAGACGATCTTCAGAGTATCAAAAGCTGTTTATCTCTTTCCACTAATAAGTCTTTTACTTCGCTGGGACAGTTGCAATCCCCCAGCTTCAATTCAACTATCCACATGCAGAAAAAAATAAAAAATGAGCACCTTGCATTTGATACTAAATCTCACTCTTCGACAGCTGGTTCAGGATCATTATTTGTTTCTACCACCATTTCATCAGTTAATCATGTTTCTGATACGGAAATTACTTCTGCTCTTGACTGTTTACCTATGTTGGCTGATTGGGAGGATGTAGCTTTACTGCCAGCATCTCAGCCTGAGCAAAATAAAGGTTGTACACATCCCATTAGTGACTCAAATTTAGACATTTCCTTTAATTCTACAGAAGGATTAATGGTTTTGAAAGAACCTGAAATGCTAAATTGTGAAACTTGTAGTGGTATAGAAGAAAGCCCTCAAAAACTTGAGACCTCTAAGTCTATTGTATATAAGAGCCCTCATACTACTATTTACAATGTAAAAAAAGTCAACGACCCAGTTTCACATGTTTCTGCCTTTAAGTTGCCGGAACCCAAATCAAGTGCCTTCAACAACATGAATGTCAATTTGACTCATTCTTCAATTTTGGGGAAACAGCCTCTTTTTTTAGGCAGTACTAAAAGGAGCCCCCCCAGCCCCCCAGCTTTCCCACCAACAAAAAAACAGACCTTCACTATTCATGAAGAAAAGTCTACTTCATCTGGTTGCTCCCCAGCAAGAAGTACCTCCCCAAAGATTCACCCCTCTGTGTTAACGTCTGCAGTTAATATACAACAGTCTTGGAAGAGGGGCAGAGTAACACCTCCTTTGTGCAGGTGTGGCCGGAGATCGAAGAGACTTGTTGTTTCTAATAATGGACCAAACCATGGAAAAGCCTTTTACTGCTGCCCTGTGGGAAAATACCAAGAAAGTAAAAAATCCTGTGACTATTTCAAGTGGGACCAGACCCTTGAAAAGGAGAGAGCCAGAAATACAGTATTGGCTCATTCCCCTGGGGGACTCACGGGTCGGGCTCCAGAAATGAGCCCAATGTCTGACAAAAGTGTACGTTTTTCTACCAAAAATTGTTTGAGATTGAGACCTTCAATGAGGAGTTGATAGACTGCTTTTTATACCAAAATTAAGTTGTTAATGTGACTTTTAATGTAAAGGGGCAAAGCATGTAGGACTATAAGTGATGAGAACAAAGAGGACACGTTTGAATTTTAAGAGAGAAAATTTTCATGGCCTTACAATTTTATATACTACTTCATTCTTCCATTTGCCTTTTGTTTGTTCATGTATGAATTCAAATTGTTCCTTAAATTTCCAAAAAAGTATGGGTATTATGCTACTGTCGTAAAGAAACCTGGTGGTGCAGTGGTTTAGTGCCTGTTAATGGAAGGCATGGCGTGTTGAACCCACCGGCCACGCCAAGGGAGAAAATGTGGCAGTAAAGATTGCCACCCTGGAAACAGTTCTGTGGGACAGTTCTCGTCTGCTAAAGTCTTAATAAGTTGGAACTGACTCTACACTAACATTTTTGGTTTTAGTATCTTACACTTTCATTTATATTTGTATATATTAACATTAGTGAATTTTTCATTTCTTCAGAATCACACACAAAATTATATTTATTACTGTATAAGCGGACCTGAATATCAGCCGAGGCATCTAATTTTACCACAAAAACTGCATTAAAAATGTGCTGAAAAACTTGGCTTATACACGAGTATATACGGTAGATTAAAGATAGTAAGAATCAATGGTATATGAGATCCTTTGACCTTGAAATAAATTTTAAAAATTCTGCTCATAGGCATAGGAGAATCCTTGAGATGGTTGTACAGTATGCATAACCCCTGTGATGTGCCCGTTGTGTATGTTAAAATACAGTATTTGACTAAAGATGACTAATTAGAAATCCTTACTCTGTTTTCAGGTGCATACTTGATGATTTCCATAATGTTAATCTCCTGTCTGATATATTTTTTATTTTTCTAAAAATTGTATATATTGTTTGGTTTTGGTAGAAGGATTGAAAATAGTAAATTGGAAGAGTGATTTTAAAAGCAACAGTATAGAGATTTGATTCAGATAGATTTTTAAATTCTTCTGCAGTTGGTAATATTTTTATATTACTACATTATAAGAAAAATGATTCCAATACAAAATCTTTACAGATTGTTGTATTTCAAAATCCATTCTCGATGTCATAACCATAAGATATTTTAAATCAGTGATATAAGCATACTGCAATTTTTTATCATTTCTCCATAATCTTGTGGATATTACAGAATCTTTGGCGTAGAGGCACTGCGGTAATTAATGGAATGTATGAATTTAAGTTCCTCCCCACTCTTTTTTTCTCAGTTCATTTCTTTTTATCTTCCCACTGACGGTCTTTGGCAGCTCTTGAATAAATTCTACCTGTTGGTATCAAAGGCAAGAAAATTAGCCCAGAATTTTTTACATAAATGTATTTAGGTAAAGTCAATTTATGTAGCAGTTCTATTATGAATTCTAAATGAGAGAATTAGGACACCCATGTTAATGAGCTTTGGGCAATGACCAAAAAGAGAAAATAGTGTTAAGGAGATTTTTCTTGATTTCTGTTCATTGAACCAGTGGCCCAACAAATTCAGGTAGGGGGTTAATTTCTATCTCAAAAGATTCTTCTGATTTTCCTCCATTTGTCATTAGTTGAGCTTGGAACATTTAGCATAGCACTTTTTAGGAGAGTGTTCATTGGTGCTGGGTAGGATGGTGGCGGTGCACTTCTGCCTCTAGGTTTCCCCTTTGGGCTGCTAGGAATTGCCTATCACTGTTCCCAGTCCCTTCTCCCAACCAGAGAAGCCTTCCCCTCTGTTCTAGGCACACAGTTAGTTACTCTCTGGCTTATGCTCATGGCTCAGGTACCATATGGCACCTGGCCAACCCCACTCCTATATCCTTGGTGTGGAGAAGACAAGATCTCCCATTGTTGAGAAGCTGATCTCACTGCCTCTTGTGAGTCAAGAATTATTCCAGGCATTCGTTGAGTATCTGATCTGTGTCTGTTGACAACTTTGAACACTGACACAACAACTCAGCAAAAAAGAGCTGGGGTGGGGGGGACTGAGATTTTCTCAGAATACTGAGCAAATGCTCATCATAATTAGAATACTTACCTTTCTGGGATATTTGTAAGGTGCCGTCATCTTCTTTACATGCTCCTGAATCTCCTTTTTTAATTGCTCTTGGTCACATGACTTGTAATCAGCATTCAGAACAATAAAAGCTTTTACTACCTAAAATCAATATTTAAAATGCCAGAAAAATAAGTTGTGTAGCCCTGTTTGTAATGTGTCCGTATTTGCTTTTTTCCCAACGGGGTTTGATCCTTATCTCTGATCCTGTCAGCCAACCCTATATACCTCCTTGTCTGTACCTGATAAAAATGAGAGATTCTGGAACAACCTTTACTTTTGTTTATAGTCTAACTCTTGAACATTCTCATCTTGACCTCTAATTTCTGACCTGTTCATGATGATCTCTGCCCTTGACCTGTTGCTTTATTTTTTGTCTCTCCTTCAATAAGGACAGACATTTGGCACTGCCCTAAATAAAGCCCTTTGGATTTCTAATCTGTGTTCTTACTTCCCTGAGCTCCCACCAGGTTGGCCACATCATCAACTGTGAGAAAATAGTGATCTGTACTTTACAGCCACCCACTTGTATTTCCTTTATAGGAGCACTGAGAAACCAAAAACTAAACAAGAGTACCGTTAAGCCAAACCAATTGGTGGGGGTGGGGTGGGGGTAGGGGTGTCACGCAGCACTAGTGAGAGTGGGCTTCCAGAATCTGTTTTGTTCATAGTTTATTTTCTGAATCTTCTACTTACTTAGCCTGCTTCTGATGTCAAGCACAGCACCTGTGTCTGATCTTGCTCTTATCCCTGATGTCCAATGCCAGCCAGTCCTCAGCTATACAACAAAGCTCTCACCCAGCCAGGGGTGTGCCTTGGTTGTTGGCATTTACATCTTTGCCCTTGTTTGTGTGGAAAAGAGTAAAATTCTTTCCAGTACTGATTTTCCCATCTTAATCTTAGCAGTTCAGATTTGTGTATTTCTCTCTGACCTGCTTATTTAATAATGATTTTCTAGCTGACTTGAAATTTAGTGTCTGAATCATGAGTAATTCCTTTTCAGTGAATTATGTTTTTTTAAAAAATATGTTAGATTGCTAACAAATTACAAAGTTGAGACGAGTCGATTCTTTTACCTCTCCTCTGATGGCATCTGGACTGCTGACAACAGCTGATTCCACAACCGCAGGGTGCTCAATCAGCGCACTTTCTACTTCAAACGGCCCGATTCGGTAGCTGGGAAATAAAGCATACAGCAGGAATTCATAAAGGTGAACAGCAAGTTAAATTACTCCAGGACCTAATGATCCATTAATAAAGACATCTGCAGACATTACCCAGAGGATAATATGACATCATCTGATCTTGCAACGAACCAGAAATAACCATCTTCATCCATATAAGCCCTGTCTCCGGTGATGTAGAAATTGCCTCGTAGAGTTGAAGCTGTTTTTGAAGGATTATCCTGCAAAACAAATACTCTCATTGTAATGTTATTATGACTGTAACTATTCTGCTTTGTTGAGTGTTTAAAAATTCTGTTGTGAATTTAACACAAAATTTGCCATTTTAGTCATTTTTAAGTGGACAGTTCAGTGGCATTAGTCATCATGTACAACCATCATTTCCAAAATTATTTGTGTTTTTGAATCCTGTGTGTGTATTAAATATATAGGTAACAAATCATTTGCCAGTTCAACATATGTATAATTCATTTGCATTTTTAAATGCCCAAAGGAAACATGTTTGCCTGCTTTAGAGAAGCTTATGGAATAAAACAACGAAAAGGAGCCAATGTAAGATGGGGTTACATTCCAGCAAGAAGTTAGCCCAACATAAGAAAGCTAAATGGCAATCACAATCCTTAGGCCTCCATCCTGAGAATTGTCTCAGTTGGATCAAGACCAAATAGTGCATGCGTTCAGAGCCCAGAGGAAAGGAGAAATAAGTCTGGTTAAACCTACGCTGGAAAAGAGGATAATCAGAATTATAGGGAAACACCAACATCTAATGGGCTTTGGTTTTGTGTTGAGTTTTGTTTTGGTTTACACAGAACTAGAGTGCTGGTGCTGTAACTGGCTTCTTGCTGTCATCAAACAGGCCAGGGTAGAACTACCCCTGTGGGTTTTGAGACTGACTTTACAGGAGTAGGAAGCCTCATCTGGTAGTTTTGAACTGCTAACCTTTTGGTTAGCAGCTCAATGCATTAAAAAAAAAAAGTGTTACATTATGTAAAGTTAACTGACAAGTACTGCCTGGACATTTTATCTAATTTATATACCATGATTAGTGATAAAATTATGCTTACAACCATTAAAGAGTTTTGAAAAAAAAGATCCATTGTCAGCAAGACCCTGTGTGACAAAGCAGAACGTCCCCCATGGGTTTTGCAAGGCTATAGAATCTTTACAGAAGCAGCCGGTGGGCTTGAATGGCCAGCCTTTGGGTTGGCAGCTGAGCTCTGCTAGCTGAGCTCTGCGAGCACTCTTCCACTAGAACTCCAAGGAGCTCTGAAGGCTTCTAGTGAATGGAACAAACTCCGCCCCTTTTCTCACCCCTCCCTCCCTTCTCAAGATTTCAGGGTATTGATTGGGTCATGTTTTAGTGGAGAAAGTCAGTGAGTGGAAAGACTGTCTTTCCAGGGGTCACCCTTGCCTTCACGGACCTAAAGCAGTGATCTAGCTTAGATGGGTCCATTTGCTCCTGTCCAGGAAGCATTTGGGTACACCTCAGTACCCTCTTGTATACACCTGGATCAAGTGTGGGAAAGAGAAAGGTTCCTGAGGCCACATGCTTTTCACCGAGTTCTCTGTACTGAGACTTCAGACGTAGACTGAGGCAGCAATAAAATGCTTCCTTTCCTTTTGCATTAACCACAGTGGTCATATGGTTTGGTTTTCCCGGGATAGTCTTGGTTTATGCCTGTGGTACCAGTGTACTTTTTCTTTTCTTCCTTGTTTTTTTTTTTAACCTGTAACAGTTTTATCGATGTATCATACAATTTCAACAGTTTGAATATTTTAAAGAGTTGTGCAATCACCACAATTTTAGAATTCCTTTTGTACTCATTGTTCTTAGCTACTCGTTTCCCCCCACCCTCCCCTGCCATAATCTTAAACTGTTAATCTAGTTATTATCTTTGTAGACTTACCTATCCTGGATTTTATATAAAGAAAATCATACAAGTACCCTTCAACAACTCCCCCCCCCAATAAAATAAAACCAGAAAACCATCAATCCACCATTGTAATTATTATCCTTTACTAATTAAAACCTTCTATTATCCTGATTTAGAGGTCAAATTATCTGGCTTCCTTATCATGCAAGTACCTTAACCCAGAAGTGATTTATAATAGAATTTGGATAGTTCTTGATCATGAAATCTCTGATTTACAATGTCTCTAGGAGACATTAAAAATAACAAGTGTTCATTAGTGTCTGTACAGGGTCCCTCATCTGCATGATGATTACTCAGGCCAGGTACCAATCCACGGCCCATCTTAGGACAAAAGCGTCCAGCACTTTTTGGAAATAACATTACTAGCAAGTCTCTTACTACATATCGAGTGAAAAGGCCAAGTGGTCGTTGAGGTAGAACTTGAATCCCAATATCTCCTTCTTGTCCAGGAGGTAGAACATTGCCATTTACATCTAAAATCTAGAATAAAACAGAATAGTTTTATTTGAGGAAATTTTTATTGCCACAAGCTGTTATTTTGCAATTTAGAGAGAGTCTTCAATTTTTTTAAACTCGTTTTATTGGGGGTTCATACAACTCTTATCACAATCCATCCATCCATCCATTGTGTCAAGCACATTTGTACATTTGTTGCCATCGTCATTCTCAAAATATTTTCTTTCTACTTGAGCCCTTGGTATCATCTCATTTTCCCCCTGCTCCTCCTCCCTCATGAACCCTTGCTAATTTATGTTACTATTTTGTCATGTCTTACACTGTCTGACGTCTCCCTTCACCCACTCTTCTGTTGTCTGTCCTCCATGTGATCAGACCCCCTTTCTATTCCACCCTCTTGGTATTGCCATTCTCACCACTGGTCCTGAGGGGTTCATCTGTCCTGGATTCCCTGTGTTTCCAGTTCCTACTGTACCAGTGTACATCCTCTGGTCTAGCTGGATTTGTAGGGTAGAATTGGGATCATGATAGTGGTGGGGAGGAAGCCCTAAAGAACTAGAAGGATGTTGTATGTTTCATCGTTGTTACACTGCACCCTGACTAGCTTGTCTCCTCCCTGCAACCCTTCTGTAAGGGGATGTCCAGTTGACTACAGATGGGTTTTGGGTCCTTAATCTGCACTCCCCCTCCTTCACAATGATATATTTTTTTGTTCTTTGATGCCTGATACCTGATCCCATCAACACCTCATGATCACACAGGCTGATGTGCTTCCATGTGGGCTTTGTTGCTTTTTAGCTAGATGGCCGCTTGTTTATCTTTAAGACCCCAGACGCTATATCATTTGGTAGCCGGGCACCATCAGCTTTCTTCACCACATTTGCTTATGCACCCATTTGTCTTCAGCGATCATGTCGGGAAAGTGAGCATCATGGAATGCCAGTTTAATAGAACAAAGTGTTCTTGCATTGAGGGAGTACTTAAGTCGAGGCCCAATGTCCATCTGCTACCTAAATGCTAAAGCTATAAATATATGCACATAGATCTATTTCCCCATCATCATATATAAATATATTTACATATGTCCATGCCTGTATTTAGACCTCTATAAATACCCTTTAGAGGCTTCAATTCTAAGTATGGATATGGAGAGTGAAGACCACCCCTCCCAAAGAATTTTATAGCTACTTGGCCGTAGTAAGAGAAGCTAGAATAAGGTCCAGTTCCCCTTCACTTAGTTTATGGAGCAGCTAGAACAGTAGGTTTCTTGACTCGTTAATGAGTGTGCCGATGTTTGAAAAATATAATACCATGAATCTGGTAGAAGTTTGACCCTGGTATTTTTACCCACCTTGTAACTATGCCCTGGGGTCACATGAGCATGAGGTGACCCCAGCCACTACATAGCTAGATCTTGAAAACCCAAGAACCAATCCCTGTGCTGCTTCCTTCATAGCATTTGTCACTAGCAATAGTATGTGAAAGAAGTTTTCTAACTTGGCCTGTTCACTATTCACAGACCATTTTTGTTGGAAGGACAAGTAGCAGACAGGTGATGGCTATTTAAACATACTCAATGGGCAGTTCTCAAGCTGCCTGTTACTTCAAATAAACAGCTGACAGCGCTCATTGCCATAAAATGTAAATTCGTGTGCAGAAATTAGGATTATGGAGAACGCATTCCTGCTACCAGTTTCTCTTCAGTTGAGATAGATGGTGATATTAACACGTACAATTTTTTGAATAATGTCATATGCTAACATTTAGAAGGAATGCGTAATGCATTACTTGATGAACCAGCATTTTCCAAATGTTGTTACTAAAAATCTAGTATAAGTGAAAAAGCCTGGTTGATTTTAATGTAATAGTATAAAAAAGGTATTGGTGAAACTACCATTTTCCATGTTTGGGTGTTGTATCAAAAGACATATACTCAGTTACCTGGAATGATATTAAAATCTTTTTCACTCTATACCCTGATGTCGTCTTAAAGTTAGTCTGCCTGCCTGAGCATGATGCTATTTTAACACCAGTCCATGTGGGATCAAATTTATAATACACGCTTGCAAGATTAGATAGAGAGACTTTTTGGGGTACTGAGCTTGTTAATGAGAGAGGGGGCAGTTGGTTGTACAGCTGCAAGGACGTCATCAGTGTCACTAAATTCTACATGTAGAAACTATGTGTTACTACGCATGCTCTCAACAAAATAAAACTAGGAAAATCTTCCCAAAAAGACAACCGGCATTGCTACTGCATTTCCCCACAGTCAACTTTATGAAACATCTCTTTTTCTCGCTAAATTGAAGTGGATGAATCGGCTCCTCTGCTTTGGGGCACGGATCTTTCAGGTAACAAAATTTACTAGGGTAACCTTTTGGTCAGTAGTAAGAAAGAGCTCAACCCTTTACACTACCAATCTTGAATAGAATGCTTGCCAGGCACGTTCTAGCAGGAAAGGGCTAACAGCCAGAATGTAAAACTCGGTAGGCAAAAGAATTCTAATCATGAACATTTCTTTTTACAGCTTGTAAATAAATAAGTAAACTATGAATTCCTACCCAGTCCTTCAAAATATGCTTGGCTTCAATTACCAAGGACTTAAGAGTTCCTGGGGAACACAAATGCACTGGACTATTAGCCACAAGGTTCAAACCCACCCAGAGGTGACCTGGTGATCTGCTTCTAAAAGGTCAAGCCTCGATTGTCTCCGGGAGCAATTTCTACTCTTCATACATGAGTTGGAATTAACCAGAACTAACAGTGACCACCCAGGGATGCTTGATGGAAAGGAAATAAGTTAACCAATCACTTGTGACTGGCCACTCTTTAATAAATGGGAAAGCATTCGCTCTCTTGGGAAGAATCTCTTCTGTTTCTTAGTGCTTAGGAGGTCCTAAAATGTTACACCATGACAATTATGTAATTTTGGAGTTCAAAGAATCTGTTACCCAGTTGGTTGGAGCACATCACCTGACACCTGAAAGTCACTGCTGATGCTCTTAGAGTACCAGTTGTACACCGTGACATTGAGAAAACCTGTTAATTTTCTCCTATCAAGCTGTTTATTGTATATTAACTTGTGAAGTTAAGACTGAACTCTGAACCAGCTCAAAGGAGAAACCTGGCTGTTTTCCTTCTGCAAGCATTGCAAGAATGAATTTAGAGTTTCTCGAATCAGCCAGGTCTCTCTGGGGCCACAATGACAGCTCTCCTGGACCCCTTGCAGTCTGCCATCGAATGGAAGTGTAGTGCTGTGGTTCTGGGGCTACCAGCGTACATCAAGTCTTTACTCTTGTGTGGTTTGTCTGTAAATGAGTCTAATGGTAATATCTCTCACATAGGTGCCTTCCGGGAATTAAAGAGGTTAATGCAAGTAAAATGCTCAGGATTGTGTGACACAACGCAGCTATCAGCAAACCAACCAACCAACCAAAACATGTTTACCCACATCCATCTGTACATAACAGCTGCATTCACCGTCACAAGACTCCTCACAAACAAAGGAGAGGGTGGGGAGATAGGCAAACCTTAACATCAAAAGCAGGAGAAGGCTTTCCCATTGAGCCAGGTTTAATTTTCATTCCCTTAAAATTTCCACAGACCAGCACCTAAGTAGGAAGGAAAAAGTGAGATCACTACCAGCAAATTTGGACTAGACTCAAAACAACAGATTCCGCTCTCCTGGAGTAGCAACATCAACATAGACAACAAAGTAACAACAATAAACTTAGAGTTACTAGACGATCCATAGTTATTCTAAACCTAAAAACCCAGCCCACTTTCGTTGATTGCAATTCCGACTCCTAGCAACCCGTAGGACGAGGTCCTGCTCCTGTCCATCTGCTTTGTAGGGTGTCCAGCTGAAAGGGTTGCGGGGGGGACCACTGCCACCTCACTCTCCTCCACAGCGGTTGGTGGCTGGTGGGTTCAAACTGCTGGCAGCCACGTGCTTTAACCACTGTGCTGCCACGTGTACTATTTTCCATTAATTTCTTCTTAATCATTTCTATAAGCTCATGAAGGAACGCTTTTAAAGTCAGTTTTGCCAAGGAACTGACCAGCAAACTTGATATTTCAAGGAACTCAGTTTTCTGGTTTTCTTTTTTTTAACCAGGCTTATTGAATTTAATTCACATGTTAAGTGACTGAATAGTTCAGAGAGAGTTTTTCTCTTGAGTAGCATCAAGGACCCCATGATGTAAGGCAGTGGTTCCCCACCTTCCTGATGCCA